TTAATATGAAATTGTATTGGTCAATATGCGGTTCTATTGAATTTATTACACTGGGTAAAAGTACAGATTTACAATGTTGGGTTTTTTCAATAATCTTGTTCATTTTGGTTAAACGATTTTCTATATTATGTGCTGAAAAACTTTATTTTATTAGTAAGTACCATTTTTCGTTTCGGGACATTTGTTTTTTCAATCCAATAAAACGTTGTCCTTTGTTCAAATAATAAAGGTATACCTACGTTTGAAACATCTAAAATTTATTTTCTCAGTCAAATGTTCAACTCATAAAAATAAAACGGATTATCCTGCAAGTATTCAATTGACCGTATCAAAGAATTAACAAATACATATCATTTTTAGATTTGCTTCTCTAAAATACAAATTTTGAACGTATAGATTAAAAATAAGGATTCTTATTTTTTTATAATTTAACATTGGGAACCCGTCTTATAAATTTAACACTAGTTATTGGTTTTTGGAATGTAGAGCAACTACCAACAGCTACTTCGACAGTGAGTTATATATCTTGAAATCAGCATGTGTTTGGGCAACAGGTCAGAGGGATTCAAAACTAATGGATTTATCCACAAAACGGGATCCAATCGTTATTTAAAGGTCCAAGTCAGATTTTCCTTTACCTTTTATCCGGTCACGGAAATTCTCTGGAGATATGGGCCTATTTCGAAAGTTCATCTGTTTTAGTTTTTTTTTCGTTTTATATCTTGATTTAAAACTAAAAATTATAGCATAGTACCCGTAGTTCTGTAAATGTTTTATTTTTTTAAAACAAAATTTAACTAAATTGTTCTACTTGAGATTTTTAATATTTATAGTCTTAGAATATAAATTAGGCAATGAAGATATAATATTTTTGAAAAAATATTAATAAAATTACTAATTAGTGACCATAAATATAATATATATTTTACATTATGAGATGACATTCGTTAACGCCTGAAATATTTGAAAACAATCGTACTTTATTAAGTTAAATACTATAATACATATGTTGTATATTTAACGTGATATAATAATACCTAACGACTTAGGTGTAATTGTGGTTTGGAACTTTTGTCGCGGAACAGTATGTCAGGTATAATCCAATAATTACTGAGTAGCCATATTATTGCAGTTTATATGTAAAATCATTCACGTCATAAATTTTTTAATAGTCTGCACCTATATACGCGTTAATTCACGTTTCGTTAAACATGTAAAATACGTTTCTGAAATCATTGAACCGTTGTAAATTAACCATATTTGTACATTATTATTTTATTATTATTGTTTTGTTATTGTATTGTGCGTTTGAAAGTCATCATATGTGTCGTTTTAATAAGTATAATGTAATGTAATGATACAACTAATTATATTTTTATCGCTAAGGTGTCACCCATGATGCGACGCATAATACCAAGAGGTAGTTATAATAATATTATATTGTGCGTGTGTACGATCGTATTATAAACTGTATTATATTATAATATTATTTTATTCAGCGGGGTCGTCTACATAAACATAATGCTGTTTAAAAACATAATAATATTGTACACGTTTCAGAGGCATTTCTAGTCCTGAAACAATATTTAGATTCAATTACCTCGTAAATTGTTGCGAGTCATCGGGGCGTGCATTGTTATTGCTGCACGGACACGATCAAGAATCGTTTCTATTTAGGGAGGATGGCTTCTGTGTGCGTATACTACGATGATGTACAACAGTCGTAATAGGTAGTCATTGCATATACATAACATATTATTATAATCGAGGGTAGGTGCGTGGTGGCTAGTCGACATGAGCATAGGTGCTCAGTAGTGTTATAGTGTGTGTGTGTGTGTGTGTGTGTGTGTGTGTGTATGTGTGTCAGTTTCATTGTGTACCTATAATATGAGATGGTCAAAAGAACGCGTGCGCGACATATGGACAACGGCGACGATAGAAGGCCATGTAATATTAAGTATACATATATTATACAGCGGAGGTGCACGTTATAATAATATTATAACATATATAATATTATTTGTTCTTGTAGCGACAATGTGACGAACTAGAAATCCGGAATAGGTCGAATATCTTGTGTGTTAACGGATGGGCGTGATCATTTATCCCTAGATTGTTAGACGTAATTATTTGGTGAAAATTGAAAAAGAAATCTTCTTAATTTTATACCTCCAAATTTGTCCGATATTTTTTTTCAATTTCAGTCGTTTTGCGAAAGGACATGTATTAGTTTTAAGATTAATCGATTAGGTAATCAATTTATTAATTCAAATAGATTCAATTTAATCGAACATGGCTATATAGGCATATATGACTTAAAATACTTTTTTATCTTTATGATAAACCATAAAATTGCAATATTATATACTAGACTACTAGATACATATATACATTATATAAAATTCAATAATTATATGTGTATAATGTATATGTATAAACGGTGTGAATATTATTTATTATTGATAAAACAACGTGTCGATCCTCATTAATCGAGAAACTTTTAATACTAGAGATCAATTGATACGCGAGATGATAATGATAATAATATATTATACTAGTAGTCTTTCATTACTTTCTACCACATCTCGCGATATTATAGTAGTTCGTAAAATAATAATTATACGGAGTTATAATTTTATTGATTAATAAAATATTATCATGTCTGCAGGTTATTGCTGAATTAATAATGGACATAACCCCATGTAATATACCTACTATGTGCGTGCCGTATCAGTTGATTAAATCTTGCTTTAATATAATATTATATTTAAATTGGATTCAATTACAAATTGTAGATCTCGAGCCTTAAGGCGCACAGATGAGAATCAATCTTTGTGTTCGATTCAGTGGAAAAAAAAAAACGATTGTACAGGCCCACACATCATATTGTGCGTTATTAGATAAACGCTGATAGTGTAATTATTATCATAATAATGTATATTATAAAATATTAACATAATATTTGTAACAAATACAAATTTCTAACTGTTTTCCGCTTGTTATACATAATAATAATATTATGTAGGTATAAAAAAAATCGAGTGTTATTCGTTGGATATACTCGTTTCTTGTACAACATTATATTGTGTATATCCATAGTCTATGTGTATATCTATGTTATGGGCGTTGAAAATATTATCGTACACATAGGCAGCTTTTACTGGTGCAGCAGCTCACCGTCTTTGAACTATATATCTACAAGTTATCTATAGCTATTACACATGGTAGATCACATTGGTAATTATCGTATCAGCGGATTCATTCGTCTGTTGTAGGATTATATTTTATTAGTTTTTTTTTTTTTATTATTTTACTCCGCACCACCCACAAAGATAAGTAAAAATATCATCGGCTGCAATACTATATATTAGTATATAAGGTACCTATACAAAATTATATCTCGACCGTCGACGTGTAACAGAACGAAACCAGTTATTCGCCACATTATAATTCATTTATCGTGTGTGCCGAGAGAACACGTGTTTTCCGAAACCTTAGGGAAAACGAGACGAAACATTTTATCGCGTGCAGAGTGAAACAGACTTGCCGTGTGTTTTAATAGCAATTACGTGTAATAATAGAATTATTATGTGTAGGTACGCTTGTCGAACTCGCGCGCTGTTACACACTACTCTCTTATTGATACGGTTCGCACAGTATTATAATACGCATACGCAAGGTCCATATTATTATTATTTTTATTATTGTGTACACGTATGGGTGCTATACCTAATATGTAACATTCCGGTATCCGGTTACCACTTCTCGATTTGCCATCACCTTCCTTCGTTACAACTGCAGCCTATCTTTGCGCGCTCGATGAAAACAGTCGGCGTTGAGGTATCGGTAACAATTAGTGGTCTCGTGGGTGAGATTTATGTCCGCCTGTCAATAAAGCGCGCTACACAGGGACTGAATGATATTCATTTTGTCTCAATCTTCCTCATTGTTTTTGTTATGTATAAACAATAGTCTTAAGTCGTCCGATTCGACGTTTTGCAGCGGTTATTATAACAATCGTATATATATATATTTTTCATTTTCATAAATTTCTGCATATGTGACCGATGTGAGTTTTTATATTTTTGTATTTATATTTATATAATGATAACATATTATAACAAACGCAGTAATTAATATATTATCTGCGTGTTTACGATTAAAAATAAAAAACATTCTACTGGCTATTATGGCTATTGTGATGCTAAAAATTCAGAATTTCATATTAATATATTATAATTATCAGCTGTTTATTTGAGTAACTTCGTACTGCAAAGTACTATGTTCCGCTGCTATAACATACTACGTATTATATTATGTATGATTATAATATTAAATAAAATAGATTTGTACGGTTAACAGATGTATCGTGTTCATATTATTTAGCGTTTTCATCCGATTTAACTTTAGAATACATTATTAGTTTTGAATAAAATTGTGTTCTCAGTTTGCTTTTTTATAATCAATAATATTGTCAAAATAAGTAAAATTGCGCTGTGGTGGTTTTACTTTTCTCGCGATTGACCAGGAGATGGATCTATATAATATAACATTTCAGTGTTTTCCCCCCTTCTGTTTTCTCCCGTGACACGTACAGTGAAGTGTCAATACCAATACACTGCACTCAACTTGGTTTAATGAAAGCTTGTCTTCGCCTCAGGGGAAATTTTTCGAAAAGCTCTGTCGATGTTTTTTCCTCGCTTTTCCTCTCCTGGACGCGATGACAAAAGCCTAAGTATTAATTGCCTTCAGGGTGTGCAAAACCCCATCAACCGCACAAAATATGATACGTGTCGAAAATAGCAATAAGCTCATCTCTACGAAATGCCGAAAATACAACTAATTTTAAACCTCTGCGTATATTAACCCTGCGCGTCTACTGTAATAAGTAATAACCATCTATGTTTAGCTGTGTATTCGCACGTGTTCATTATTAGGTGTTACAAATAATAATACAGATGATAATACTTATTGTTTTGTTTTTATTTTTATTTTCTCAGATTACTATCCTGTCTTTGGTCCAACATTGCAATTTTCATCACTGCTGTTTTCCTGAATTCTTCTGATAAGGTAATAAAACTGAATAAACTCAATTGTATTTAGTAATTTATTGGTTTTAATTTGATTTTTTGTTATGTATAATAATATATGTGCGCATTATTATAATGATGCGTTAATGAAAATTCCTAATTTTCCACGGCACACGTCTTACTTATACCCTTGTGGTATACGCTCAGAGGTTGATAATAATATATGCATAGCGCATTATGAATGTCATGTTCGCAATAAACGTCAAGGCACGGGTCTACGACGAAATATTTCGTCCAAAAAGGGGGGTAACCGGAATCCCTTTGTGTAGGATAATAATAATGCGGCCTGAGCTAGTATAAAAAAAAAAAAAACATCTGCGATTAAATTGTCAACGAGGGCAGCTGCGATTTAGAGACCATTGACGAATAAAACCAAAGCCTTTTGTTTCTCCGAGGGATCTCTTTTTTTTCGGTCACGGACCCACGTGTGTTACGTTCGTCCATATACGTATAGTAGTATAGATTTTTTTATATCGAAATAATGCCCTTTAGTTTTTGTTCGTAGATTTAAGTAATTTTTATTTTACGAGAGTCTGATGGCTGGTGCATTACCGTAATAGTTGTACAAATATTACTTGAAGTCGTTAACCTTTTCAATTTCAAGTAAAATATGAATGAACATTAATTGTGTATAATAGATATATGGAGTTTATTTGTTGAAGAAATAAGGGTTTCAACTGTTTATTTAAAGTGGTTGCTTAAAAAGCAATTTTTAAGTATTTCAAATCACTTGTTTTATCATATTTATATTTATTATTCGATAAATAATTCCTCTCAGAGATGAAGGTAAATTCTTCATTTAATATTTTTAAGTCATCTATTATACTTCCGTATACTTTTCAAAGTCAATTTCCGTTTTGAAATATGTATTTATGTAAATTAATATTTGCATTTTTGTAAAGAAAGGTGGATTAGACACGGAAACAATATCTGAATGATTGGTAAATTAAGAATTTACTTTCAAAATATTACATTAAATTTAAAAAGTGGTTAAAATTTATCAATATAGCTAAATTCATTTTTCAACTTTTAACGTATAACTATGATATATATTTTTATTGTATACGAGTAATGAGTATTACTGTATTACTAAATTGTCTCTAATAATCTTAGATTTGTTCTATTAGTTTTGATTATTATTTTGTTAACAAATTAGTTATTTATTTCTATTTACTTTGTGTTAAAATAGTGAAAAAAAATTATCAAAGTAAAATAATTGTACACGATTATAGTAACCAATTACATGTTTACATACATTATTAAAAATACTTCTTTTAAATTAATTTTATTTTTGAAGTTTTAATTTTAAGCAAGATAAAATTATATCAAAATTATTATACACATTTTCTAATATGTTCAATTGAATTTTTATATAAATAAAAAAAAATATCAAATTATCTGTTTGACTTATTTAGATAATTTTTTGAATAATTTATTATATAAATATTTCTAATAATTATTTATTTACCAATTGTGGCAATTTGTCAAATCATAATCATTGATAAGTAATGCATTATATTTTGTGAAACTTCATTCGTTTTTCAACAGTGGAACGTTATTCATAACATTTGATTAAAATTAATTATGGAAAGCTATCTCCAGAAAAAAAATGTATAAATTACTTAATTCCAGCCATGTAAATTTGCTGACTCAGTTGAATAAAACATTTGTGCATTTTCTTCCGGGGCGGTAACTAAAATATTTTTGGCTAATTTTCTAATGCCATATACACTATACACACAGTTGTACAATCGTATACATTAGGGTTGTTATTTTTCTCTTCTTTCTCCTTTTTTTCCAAAGTAATGAATGACGTGTATAATAATAGTACCAATGTACGCGAAAACATTGTGCTGGGAGGGTAAAACACAATAAATGTAGAACTCGAAGCAGAACATGCATAGTCAAATCCATCCCATTGTTGGGGCCTGTGTAATAATTTATGTCTGGTTGTACGTGTGAGCGTTATGGTGGAAATTTACGGCATTTAGCCCGTGTTTTGGCGGTTCAAACGTTACCCTGGGGCGTCACTAAGCCCGATGTACTGAAAGGTGTTGATATTGTATAGGGAAAAAAACAGCAACATCACTACGGCATAATAAATTAGACATAATCCAATGGAATCGCAAAAACGGACACATCATGGTAAATTAAAACTACTAGCAAATTCGTTCAGTTTAATACCGAGAAATTAAAAATTGCTATGCTGTCCGATTATCTATCATTGATGCTCGTGATTAATTTTAGTTGATTATAAGTTATAACATATAAGTCGTAAACATATTACGTTTAAAATTTATGATGGGTAACAAGTATTATTATATTGACACTACAGCTTCCTAGAAACTAAATATTTATTAAAAATTAAATCAAAGTGTATAGTTTCGTTGAAACCATGCATCGTAGATCGTAGTATTACTTGTATAACTGTTTTGAAGTCTAAAAATTTCATAAGTGCTATTGTTAAGATTTTGACTCAACCTTACTCATGCACATCAAAACGATATCGGTTAATGGGGTCTCTACAGAAGTGTGTAAATCTTTAGATATTCAATATAATAATATTGAACATTTGTACCATACGTTATTGCATCATTCGTGATTATTATACCGGACATAATGGGAAAAAAAAATCAATTTATCAATGTCGTAGGAAAGGATTATCCAGCATAGGAGGAGGTCTTGGACATATAGAATCCCTTTGACTCGTATGACGTTGCTAGAATGCTATCGTGTTGAACGATGTAAACGCAGTATGACCCTCAACGGGCTGCTTATACTAGTGACCCTATGCTTCGGCCAATATTCCGACCGGTGGTCAACCCGCATTTAATCTAATAAAACAGTTTCATTGTAAACATCGAGCAGCTGACACCCAAACTAGGTGGCCAGCCGCCAATAATAATAATAATAATTCTTTGGGACCTTTTGAATCGATTTAACAAACGAACGTGAGATATGTTTTTAGGAAAATAAAAGAGATCCCCGGGACGAATCGAATGTGAAATGTGAAAAATATATATTACGGTGATAAATATATCAATTACATGTATACAATGATTTGTGTGTCTGGTTGTCACAATGTACACGAGTTCTGAGCACACGTTCAATGTAACTCGACGCAACTATGATTTTATTGGGGTTATTGACGATTGCATTTAGTTAATGGTCCACACATTCGTCGGAACCACCGAATACCGATATCAATAATTTTACTCTAGAAAATGTGTGTAATAATTCCTCAAGTCGAAAGTTACATTATACACGTACACCTGTATTTTAGATTATATTTAATAGTCGTTAAATAATAAATATTTTATTGTAATCGATGTATTCGTGTTGTGAGTATATTTTGTTTTTGATAAACGGAGTTAAAAACGAATATTTTAAATAATATTATGACGTGCTGCTTATATTGTGTTGAATAAAATACATTCATATATTATCATGCATTTTTAGTAAGTGCAGATGCTGTTACAATACTCAGGTGCTCTGTAATATTATACTATATATATTTTTATTAACGATTATCTGACGTTATTCCTTTTGTTGCTTAAAGCCTTAGAATCTGTGGCAAAACAATTTTTTTGTAGAGATATATATTTTAATATAATGTATCTTATACGTATCTGGAAGTCCTAAATGCTGGTTCATCGTAATCCGGTTTTTAAACTAGTTTATTAAAAATAAATCTTTCAAACTGAGATAATGCATAATATAATATATTTAAACATTATAGATAGTATTTTAGTACAATATGATGGAATTAACATTTTTTTGTAAACTTATTGGGTAGAGTGCTTACCCAGAAATCAATTTTAACGAAGAATATTGAAGTATTGTTTTTAATTTTTACATTTATATGAATATCCTGCTGTTATATAATAATAATATGTGTAATACTTTATTATTAAATTATCAAAAATCAGTTTCAATTTAAATCAATTGTTAATAAATTGTTTTACACAAATGAAAAACGTCGCAGTAAAATAATTCATTGATTGATCCATTTATAAATACATAACAATAAAATTAATAATAATAGTAATAATAAATACTTGTAGAAAAACGTATAAAATTCACCGTGTCTGATTATTTGATTATGTTATTCATTTATGTCGTGGTGTTGGACTCGGGGTCAATTCGAGGTTAAAATAATATTAATCGGACAGAGTTTTTTGTGACGCGTATATTATGAATTATTATAAATCGTAATATTGTGTGTCGCGACGTTATATTACGGTTCAATTTGCATAAAACATCATTGCTATTATTGTCAAAACGATTGTATCAGTTCGCGCCCATGAGCACACGCAGCAACAAGGAAATTGCGTGTAACGAAATGCTCCAACGCAAAAACACTGTGTATTATACGGAAAACGTATCTATGTAATATTTTACCTGAGATGTGATAAAAACGCAACGTTGAATTATTATTATTATCGATACACACGAGATTATTTTATTATTTTTATCTCTGCGTTAAAAAATGTATATTATAATATCACAATATTATATGAATTATTATTAAAACGCCCACGCGGGTACCACATGCGCGCACCTTCGGCGACGATTAAGCCCGTTTTGTAATGTGTCCGACGACAACGGTTAAGTACGATATAATGCGCCTAACATGAATGTCTCGGACGGGTTAGACCAAGGCATCGGTATCGTATCGGGCGTTGCGTTTATAATATACTAATGATAATAATAGTAATATCTACCTACTATTAACTATCACGTATGTGTTTTCTTTCATCAGTCCACCATTTTTGGAATAAAATAACCATTAAAATAGCACATCGTGCTTTTTTACGCCCGGCTTATCGCGTTCACCTATCAAAAGTTATGTTTATATTCAAAATTTAAATCCAAAATGAATTATAATTTATTTTATTAAGATGTGTAAACTGTTGTTATCCCTCCTCCCTATTTCGCGGCGGCCACCCGGTTTGCTTAAATCCCGTAAATAATGATCTT